CAGGGTCTACACATACCAACGGAAACTCAGCATGTGGCAGATTTACAGCTCAGCTTGCTGTGAACGAAGTGTTCATGCAGACAAACCCTAGCACTGCCCTAAACTGTTTCAGCTGCAATGACCCACTCTCCAGACCAGTGCATTCTGGGAGACTTTGCAAGGCTCCAAGTGCACTGTGGGACATTAGTAGGAGAACTAGGTCGAACTGGTTCAGCTTCTCTGCATCAAAACTGGCATTAAAACAGTTCAGGCTAAACTGGTATTTAGCCCTAAAAAAACATATTCTACTCTGCTTGGTTCGTAGCGTGCTTGTAAACCATTTGGAGCACTTTCATGTGTGAATGCAAAGTGCATAGGCTAGGAGATTAAAATGGTGCTTAGATCTGTATGTTTCTCTAGTGTACACAAGACCTGTGTCTACCTATGCACATTGACAGTGCTTATCACATTGTGGCTGCTGCCTCAGTAGAAAGAATAAATTAGCTGCAGAATCTTTATTATTGGGGATGATGTGCAAAAAGGAAAGAAATCAGTTTATATCTCAGATTCCAGACAGGGTCCTGACCATTAGAAAAAAACCATCTTTTTCTTGTAAATGGAGCAAAAATTACTCTGGAGGTGAGTTACTGATGGACAAGAAAACTAGACCCCCATGAAGCCATTTGTACCAAGACACTTTTCAGAATAGAGCCACATTTTCCAAACCGCACACAAGTGTTTGTTTTAAACTTAGAAACTGGAGATGAAAAACATCTCATGGACCTAATTTCTTGATGGAAGACATCTGGAAATGGTGAGTGTTGATTGGCTGGAGCTGGTTATGGAGGACTTGGGAAAGGGAAGGTTAAGGCAGCTCTCTATCACACCTTCTGCCTCTGGCCTCCTGTCCTCTTTTCTCTTTCTTGCATGGTTTTGTACTTCTTGTGCTTGTGCTTTCTGACTGGAGGGTACTGGATGCTCCAGCGCATGGGAAGCTCACCTGAAAGCTTTGCTGAGTAGCCCAGGGCACTTCACAGCAAACTTAAAACCTTATTCTAATGTCTGGCAGTAGCTACCAGTGGAGGGTTCATTACCCCATTAGCCCCTCAGTGTGGTTCAGGGCATTTGATTAGCCCCTTGATTCACAGCAAGAGGGGGAGGAGAAGCGAGGGTCATAGGAGGAGCAGAGGGAAGAAAGACAGATGGGGGAGAGTGATATGGGAAGGATGGAGGGACACGGGGAGCATTGCCAGAGGGGAAGGGGAGGACAGAGATAGGGGCAAAGTGAGAGAGGAAGGGTAGAAGGGATGGAGGAAGATAGAATGAGAATGAGTCTAAAGTAGAGGGATAAGTGGGGAGGGAGTGCAACAGAGATGGCTAGAGGGACCTGGAGAGAGGAATGGGCAAAAGCGGGGGGGGGGGGGGGGGGGGGATGGGGCAGAGTGAGAAAGGCTTAGGGAAGATAGAGGGATGGGGAAATTCCCTAAAAATGTGTCAGGTTTTCTTCTTGGAAAATGCTCTGGAGCTGTGTGGTGTTCCCAAGGCTCATGTGGTGACTTCCAGAGTGGTTGTGAGGATGGGCCGATGATCCCTCCACAGCCTGGCAGTACCATCCTTCCTTCAGCCCTGGCAGGTGGTGGAGAATAGGGATGGTTACAGAGTGAAGCAGAGTGCATCATACTCATCCAGAGAGGAAGGATAATCCTGCAGTTAAAGCACTGGGCTGGGACTCAGGAGATATAGGTCCAATTCCCAGTCTTGCCACAAACTCCCTGTATGACCTTTGGCTTAAACTCCCTCTGTGCCTCAGCTCCATGTGTAAAATGAGGATAATGCATCCTTTTACCCATCGTTCGTCTGTCCTGTGTATTTCGATTGCAAAGTCCTGCCCATACAAACACTATGATCAGTAATAATCTTGGAATCCCAATGCTTTCCCCGCACCTACTAAGACAGATAATGAAAGACCATGTTTGGGAGCCCAACTCCAGATAAGAAGAGTGGTTTTATACGTTACAGCCTGGGTAGTCAAGCCAAGGAAGAAAGCAAGGAGCCCTGGCAAGAGATTCCCTCAATACAAATGTTGCTTCCCATCCAAGCTGCAGTATCCCTCAGTGGTGTCATGGTAGAAGGCAGGAGTGCAACAAACCAATAATTATAATTCATCACTAGTAATGCAAGAATGGAGTAGTTTTCAGAGTAAACCTTGTTCCTCTTGAAGCCTGAATGGACGCTGTGTGTTTGGATGCATAGTTCTGTCATAGTGCAGTTCAGCAGCACCAAGAGTGAGGTCATGGAATTCTGCAGTTTATTTGAAAATTTGGTCGTTTGTTACTACACCTGCCATCTGAGGTTTAAAAGACACAGATTTTCTTAGACTATAAACTTTATACCTAGATCAACAAGGTATGAACTGTTTTACTTTTTCACTACAGAACACATTCTGTAGTCCATTCAAATCCGGACTCATCTTTGTCACACTACTAAGGTGAAACTGTTCCACACTCAGATTACTAGTTTTAAAAAGTTGTTTGCATCGTTACTTTAAACTATGATATTTTGAAGCTTAAAATATCTTATAAATATTGCCTTTTTATCTGGGTACCTAAAACAATCACTGTTCTGCACTCGTGGTGGAAAAAGCAGATAGTACCCACAGTCAGTTGAAATACTTGCATTTTTAACCAGTTAGAGTCAGATTGGATCCTTTATGCTGTACGTACACTGAAATCAAATTCTGTCTTCAGATGCACAAGCAGGGGCACCCTTTTTAAATCTGTAAGTGTCCTACAGGTGGATGGCCCACCGAATGACCCAGATTGTTTCCAATGCAATATCCTGAAGTTAGTAGTGAGGAAACTAGGCAAAATCATATTGCCTGACAAAATAAATTAGATGAATACAATGAAGAAATAATTGTACTGCAAAACTTTTATTACAGCCAAATAATAAACTGGATTAGAACAACCATGCAATTCCAACACAAAAATACATTTAAAATCTTTACATTTCCAGTGAGTGAAATACAGCTAGACGCTCTTTAATCTTATTAAACTTTGATTTTATACCTGACTAATCACCATTAACCTACTTGATACAAATTAAATTTCACACCATTAATCAGCAGTTAAACTAATAGTTTCAAATTAAGTAACAGTCATTTCACATCTGACCACCAAAGCTTCAGTTTAAGGACTTATCTGACAAATACACCAAGGCCTGGCCTATGCTACATGGCTGGTCAATGCAAGGCAGCTTACATCAACCTAGCTGTAGATGTGTCTTCACTTACATTCGGCTTCTGCTGACGTAAGTGCCCTGCTACGCTGACATACTAACACCATCTTCCCGAGTGGTGTAGAGCCACAGTCAATGCAGTTAGATCAATGCAGTGATAGTGTAGACACTGTGTTACTTGCTCTACTTTTACTGGCCTTCAGGAGCTCTCCCACAATGCCCCACATTGACTGCTTTGGTCACCGTTTTGTACTCTGCTGCCGAGGGATCTGGTAGACAGGAGCCCCCCTTCCCCTTTAAAGGCCCTCGCATTTTTGAAGTTTGGTACCTGAAATGGAGTGTTCTTTCCCTTTCATAAGTTCTGTTCCCTTAATTTATTAAGTTTTAATTTTATTTTAATTACCTGGTTCATGTTACAGAATAAAATTCTATTTTTTGGAATAAAATTCATCTTTATTAGTTCACAACATATGCTGTCTGGTGCTGAGCAGGTCTGACACCCACCAATTTACTGTTACTTCATTTAGTCATAGAACCCATAGCATCAATCACAGATAATATTAATAGGTGCATTGACAACGTTATATTGCTGTGTACACAGCAATCACTACAAGATTCATACCACACTGCAAAAGAGCAAGGCCAGGTAGAGCACACTACAGCAACACACACTACTTGCTATTAAAATGGTCTTTCAATGGTTGAGCTCTTCTTATAGCCCTGGTATTTGGCTGTTCAAAACCAGCAGACACACTCCACTTCCACCCCGGCAGAAACTTTTCCCCCTTTGTATCACAGATATTATGCTGGACACTGCAGACAGCTATATGTAGATTTTTTTTTCTCACCGAGGTCCAATCTTGTTAGTAAACAATGCCAGCAACCCTTCAAACAACCAAAGGAATATTCAACTGTCATTCTGCACCTGCTGAGCTGACAGTTGAAGAGCTCCTTGGTGCTGTCAAGGTGGCCTGTGTATGGCTTCATGAGCTATGGGAGCAAGGGGAAGGCTGGGTCTCCCACAATCACTACTGGCATTGCAACATTCCCAGTGGTAATCCGCCAGTTGGGAAAGAAAGTCCCTTCTTGCAGCTTTCTGAATAGTTCTGTGTTTTTAAAGATGCATGCACCATGCAACTTTCCTGACCAGCCCACATTGATGTCCCCAGTGATCCGCCAGCACCTGCATTACCATAGAAAAGTAATCCTTTCTGTTGACATCCTCTGTGCCAAGATAGTTTGGTGCTAAAATAGGGATAAGCGTGCCATCCATCGCCCCACCCCAGTTTGGGAACCCCACTGCTGCAAAACCATCCACTATATCCTTCCCATTGTCCAGAGTTGCAGTCCTATGTTGCAGGAGGCGTTTAATGGTCTGCACACTTGCATGACAACTGCCTCCCCCGTGGATTTCCTGACTCCAAATTGATTCCCAACTAACCAGTTGCAATCTGGTGCTGCAAGCTTCCGCAGTGCAATCGACACTCACTTCTCAACTGTCAGTGCAGCTCTCACTTTGGTGTGTCTGTGCTGGAGGGCTGTGGAAGGTGGCCAGGTAGGGTGAGTGCAGACTCTCAAAGAACAACAGTTGATGAGTACCCTTTCTTTCATCCTCCCATACTGGTCTGAGATCAAATGCTTCAGACACAGGCTACAGACCATCTTCTTCCAAGTTACCCTGTATATACCAGCCAGAGCAATCAAAACCTTACTCATCCAATGAGCCTGAGATGTGAGCCACCCTCTAGCCTATTACTTCATCATACAACAAAAAATCCTATTGCAATCCATATAAAACAAGACAGACTTTGGTTTGTGTAACAACTTGTGGGGTTTTCCCATAAGTACAGTGAAAATAAGTCAGAGTGAAGTGGCAGAGTTAAAGCTATTGTTAAATTGTAATTGAGTATTCCCAAGCTTTCTAAGCCAAAGATTTTCTCACTTTCAAAATGTTGGTTTTAGAACTTTAACTCTGAATTCCTTGACTTTCAAAAGGAAGGATATTATGTTTTTATTTTAATAAATACAATGCTTTAAATTAATAGATATCATAGTATTTAGAACTTAAAATCTATCTCACTGAAGCTTTTGCCTGGGATTTTATATTGACTCCAGGTAGCTGAACTCATAGTCCTATAACAGTTCATACAGATTCTTCTGACCGCTGGTCAAGACTGGTTTTGCAGATAATGGCCAGTAACCCTAGCTGAGGCCACATATCTCATGGAGGACTATCTGGTCACTCAAGCCATTCAGGGGCCTTCTACGAAGGGAATGATGGCTCCTGATATGCTAGAGAAGGAAATAAGCCAAGGACCCAAAAGTGGTGGTAGAAAATGCAGACTGCTATCCGAGGAACACACCTCACACAGGAACACACCTCAAGGTCCATGGGTCAGATTTCCCTGTGACAATAGGCTTATGCCTTTAAGTGTCTTTGTCCCACACCTACATAGGAGCAGGGGCTCGCTGCTACTCAGAAAGAAGGTAAGACAAGCTGCCGGAAGACAAGGGACAGACATAATGACTCCTGTGGACAACAGGGACACTGATTCTGCGACTGCCACTACAAGGAGTGTAACTTTGGGCAGGTCTGGACCAGAGAGAATAGGACCTGAAGAAAAAGCCCGAGGAAACTCACCATCTCCTCAATCTCCACAATCAGACTTCGGGTATAATCAGACATTTATCCAGGAACAAATGGCCAGTTTATACCCATTTGGTCTTGTGCCAACATAGTCCCTCAGCATAAAAGCTAATCACCCTCCTTGGAATATTGTTTTCAGTTATGGGAACTCCAATAACAGAAAGATGTCAAAGGACTGGAAAGAAATCTGAAACCAGCAACCAAAATTAACAGAGGGCTGAAGGCAATTAATTAGGAGGAAAGATTAAAGTAGCTAAATATGCACTGTTTGGCCAAATCATTGCTAAGCAGGATACATAATTTTCCTGAAGTACTTGAAAGAAAAAAAACTTTGTTTAGAGTTGTATATAATTAGGGGATAGGAATGGACCAAGGAGGAGAATGTGCAGCAGAATAAGACCATTAGATATAAGGAAAACAGGTTTTAAGGAATTAAATCTAATGAAGGTGCAATGGAAAGAAATATTAAAGAAGGCTGATGGACAATGCAAGACACACGTTAAAGCACCATGAACTCCCCTTCCTCTAAAATAGAAGAATATAAGAAACTGCCAATGTATCTTCAGAAAGAACCTCAAACATCTTAGGATACAGCAGAACCCGGACTGGAAGTGAAAAGGAGAAGCATGTGACTGGGTGAAGATCTGGGAGGCCACATGTGCCTATGGTTAGCTGCAAGTAACAACAGGCTATTTGGAGCAGTAGCAGCCTTACCTTTGAAGATAAACTCTTTCCAGCACTTTGGCTACCCACACAGATAATTGCAAGAGGTTCTGCTTATACTGTTGGGGGGAATGAATCTTCCAGTGAGGTAATGGAAGGGAAATTAAGGGAAGGGCAAACAGAGGCAATTTTAATATTTCCATCAAATGTTTTTAGGGTTTCTTTGTTTTAAGCCCAAAGTTGTTTCTCAGTCTGATTCGCACATATTTAAAAAGCAAGGTAACAGAGTACGAACATACTTTTAGGTTGAAAATTTAAACCCAAAGAGTCAGGAAATTATTATTTAAGGTGCCCACACTAATCCCAACTCTGTGACCAAAAAGATACAATACAATAGGGCCTTTCATTAAATAATCACACAACATATTCATATATATCCAATACAGGTTTCAAATGTTATGTTAACAGTTTTTTAAGTGGAATAAGCTGCCAAGGAAGTAAGATGCAAAGACTCTCAATACATTTCAGAGTCTGGAAATTAAGGGGGAAAGACGGGAAATAAGAGATGCAGAAAAATGAGGGGGACAGGGTTGCTGGGCCAAGTGACTATTTCTTCCCAGAAATTCCTTTTGGCCTGTGGATAGCTCCTATAGGTTACAGTAGTAAACTTAATTCTTCAGACGTTAGGCTCCTAAGAGAACTGGCAGTCTGGAAAATACTGTATTCCCTTGTGTGTCCCTGCTACGTCCCTCTGACCTTTTCGAATGTGTTATGTTAGATGAAAATTAGATTTTTTTTGGCTATTTCACAAATGAAGAAAAAATATTGCTTATGGCATTAAATATTTTTACATGCATCCAATCTGGCATTTACTGAACTTGCACGGCCATTTTAGAGGTGCAAGTGTAAATGTCAGTGCTATAATTTGTTAAAGGTTTCTGACAGCCAGCAATTAAAATCACCACAAATTCTCACAATTTAAACCACTTTTACGTAAATGTAAACTTTTCCTAAAACAGCTAAATGAGAGTTTTCCATCCAGCCTGAGTGAGGCTTTTTGATAAGCTCATGGCAATGCTCTTTCTGCTACTGAGGATTTTCGAGAATACTACAAATATTAGTTTCTCTTTGGGTCTGTTTGACCTTTAATAAAAATTTGCTAAAACACAGAAGCTAACAAAACAAATAGAATGTTTCTTGTCATAACCATGGAACTGCTTTTTGACCTGACAGGATTGCTTCAGTCTGCATCATGAAAATAAACAACTTATTATTATAACTTTCACTTACCAGACATGAAGTTGGGCTATTAGAAACCAAGAGTTCAATGTATCAGGCATATGGCACCCTAGGAGAAAAACAAAACAAAACACAGAAAAATTGCAAGATGTTTTCCATTGATTTTTACATTTTAAAGAAATGTTCTTACTTTAAATATATTTTTGTACTTTAACTTGTTGTTTCATACACTAAACATATATCAGAAGATCCTGCCTAGATCTACTTCCAAAAGTTTGTGTTTTACTCCACAGAAAGCTCCGAAAACAAATTTTACTCACTTTTTAGACTGCAAACTCTTTGGTGAAGGAATTGTCATTTACTGTATGTTTGGACAGCACCTAGACTGGCTGGCCTCTAGGTGCTACCACGTTGTAAATGTTAAAACAAAATAATAAGGAAGACCCATCTCTTTTTCCAGGTCTAACTATTAGCACAGAGAAGACCTCTATCCATCCCATACCTCTTAATCTGATCTCAGTGCTCAGACCTCACACCTGCTAATTCAGAAACTGTCTCACTCTTTATGCTTTAACCTGATTGTTGAGATCAGTTAGGACAGACTTGCTACCAGTTCCTTCTTTTGCCTGTCTGCATATGTCAAGGCCCCTCATGTTCTGGAACAGACTTCCTCCCTTGGTCTGACAGAAGTAGAGTATGTTGACATTCAGAGCACACTGACAGGCTCTTCTGTTTACCCAAGACAAAGTTCAACTCTGTAAAGCAGGCCATACAAAGCCTATGCACCACGTAAGTCAAAGATGCACAGACCTCATGTGGGTCTCTGCACAAGGGAGAATTTCACTCTCAAATTTTTCTGGAGGGGTGGGAAAGAAGGGGTTCATTAGGCTATGGAAGTCCTTTGAGTGTCATCTCTGACATCATGTCAATTTGATTATTTACTATTTGGGTATTTTAAATCCTTCATTGTTCATATGCCCAGAGATCCTAACAGCTAGTCTATAAACTGGGAAAATTAAAGTAAACAAACAGCTGGGAGTTTTAGAAGCACAGCGACTAATCACATGCAAATTAAGAACCCGACCTGCTGATACACTAGGCGCCTTTCTATATTAAGTGCAAAAAGCTAATGTTAATGCAACATTCAGGTTGTGGAACCAAGCATTCAATTAAGGAATTCCAAAATGTAAAGGTTCTTTCTGCTGTGTTAATTTGGCCACGCTAAAAAATATGTATTTTGCTTTCCTTGTTAAATGCAATCTTTCATATATTTTTGTTCACTTCTGCATACCATATATTATGCAGAGAATACAGAATGGTGTAGTACAAAGATTTTAACAACATGAGTTTTCAGTATCAGCAAATCCCAAATGAGTGTCAATAAAACCTTTATGCCATACCACACTGTCATGTATTCTGTATATGCCACATATGTTAAAAAACTAACTCAACAACCTGTTTACTGGGACTATTTTTATATCCTTGATCCTGTATAGACAGATTCCTCAAGGCTGCAATTTAGTTTCATTGTATCTAATGTAACTGACTATGTGTTCATTATCTGTATAAATAGCTAACAGTAATACTCTATAGCAGTGGTTCTTAACCTGGGGTGCACGCACCTCCTGGGAGTGCAAGATGCCCTTTTGGGGGTGTGAGACATGCCAGATTTTTTTAGAAGGTAAATCATCGAAAACACAAATTAAGCACAGGCACAGAAGCACAACTACTTTGTTTCATCAAACATATGTATTTATTAACATTATATATTTAACGATTACTGTAACATACAAACAAAAAATATATCTAGGTTTAAGGGGTGCGAGAACATATTTTTTAGGTTTAAGGGGTGCGAGAACATATTTTGATTTTTGATAAGTGGTGCGAGAACATATTTTGAGAACCAAAGGGGTGCAGGCTGCAGTAAAGGTTAAGAAACACTGTTCTATGGTCTGGAAGTAGCCATCTTAAGGCTGAAGGCAGAGAGTTCTTCAAAAGATGGCAGGTGTAAAATGGTATGAATTTAAGACCAATGAAGAAGTTAGAAGGAGAGTAGGTTGTGAAATCAGGGTATAAGATTGGTTACAAAATCGAAAAGATTACAATGGTGGGGACACTGCAGATGACAAACAGATGACAGGATGCCAAACAAAATAATGCAAGCACAACCAAGGTCAGTCCCACCTAGAGGTCAACTACCATCTAGATGGCAGGACATCATATGCAGAAACATAACCATGGCTGGGCTTAATGGAGGAAGAAGCCATGGACTGGAATGAGTGGCGACACTGTACTTCTCCCCATCTCTGAAAGATGCTCCAGGATGAAAGAGAGAATGAGAGAGAGAGACAAATGTCTAATCCTCTTTTGACTCCTACAAACCTTTTGGCTTCAATCATACCTCGTGGCAATGAATGCCAGAAATTAAATATGCATTTTGTAAAAAAAATGGTTACTGTTTTAAATTTGTTGCCTTCAAATTTTTTTGACCCTTTGTTCTTGTATGATAGAATCATAGGGTTAAAAGGGATTGCAAGGGTCATCTAGTCTAACCCCTGCCACGATGCAGGGTTTGTTGTGTCTAAACCATCCAAGACAGATGGCTCTCCAGCCTCCTTTGGAAAACCTCCAATAAAGAAGCTTCCACAACCTCCCGAAGCGTCTGTTCCATTGTCCCACTGTTCTTACAGTTAGGAAGTTTTTCCTGAGATTTAATCTAAATCTGCTGTGCTGTAGTTTGAACCCATTGCCTCTTGTCTTGCCCTCTCTGGCAAAAGAGAACAACTTTTCTCCATCTTTTTTATGGCAGCCTTTCAGGTATCTGAAGACCACTATCATATCCCCCTTTAATCTTCTCTCTTCCAAACTAAACATACCCAGTTCCTTCAGCCTTTGCTCACATGGCTGCATTCCATCCCTTTGATCATCTTTGTCACTCACTTCTGGATTCTTTCTGGTTTCTCTTTATCCTTTCTATACATTAGTGACCAAAACCGGACACAGTGCTCCATCTGAGGTCTCATAGACTCATAGACTTTAAGGTCAGAAGGGACCATTATGATCATCTAGTCTGACCTCCCGCATGATGCAGGCCACAAAAGCTGATCCACCCACTCCTGGAATAATTCTCTCCCTTGACTCAGCTGTTGAAGTCCCCAAGTCAAACCAGCACTAAGCAGAGTGGTACTATCACCTCCCGTGACTTGCATGCTATGCCTCTGTTAATGCAAGCTGAAACTGCATTTGCTTTTTTTGCAACAGCATTGCATCACATTGAGGTTGTGAGCCACAACTCCCAGATCTTTTTCAGTAGTACTGCTGCCAAGCCAGTTTCCCCCCATTCTGTATTTGTACATTTGGTTTTTCTTCCCTAAGTGTAGCACTTTAATATTTGTCTTTGCTGAATTTATCAAGATCCCTCTGAATTTTAGCAAAAAGAACAGGAGTACTTGTGGCACCTTAGAAACTAACAAATTTATTAGAGCATAAGCTTTCGTGGGCTACAGCCCACTTCGCCCACGAAAGCTTATGCTCTAATAAATTTGTTAGTCTCTAAGGTGCCACAAGTACTCCTGTTCTTTTTGCGGATACAGACTAACACGGCTGCTACTCTGAAATCTGAATTATAGCTCTATCCTCCAAAGTGTTGGCAACCTCCCCAGCTTTGTGTCATCTGCAAACTTGATCAGTATGCTCTCTATTCCTACGTCCAAGTTATTAATAAAGATGTTAAGCAACACCGGACCCAGAACAGATCCCTGTGGAACTCCACTTGAGACCTCCCTCCAAATCCATCATTCCATTAATAGCTACTCTTTGTTTGCGATTGTTTAACCAATTGTGTGTCCACTTAATGACAAGCCTGCATTTCGCCAGCTTACTTATCAGAATATCATGTGGGACTGTGTCAAAAGCCTTGCTGAAGTCCAGATATATTATGTCTACAGCGTTCCTCCTATCCACCAAATCAGTTGCCCTGTCTAAGAAGAAAATCAAGCTGATTTGAAATGATTTGTTCTTGGTAAATCCAAGCTGGTTGCTAGTAATTACCCCTTCATCCTCCAGGTATTGGCAAACTGAATGTTTTACACATTGCTCTATTAGCTTCCCAGGTATCGAGGTCAGGTTGACTGGTCTATAATTCCCTGGCTCCTCTTTTCCTCCCTTTTAAAGACGGGGCTCTATATTTGCCCTTCTCCAATCTTTCAGAACCTCTCCTGTCATCCATGAGTTTGTACATATTATTCCCAGTGGCTCCAAGATTTCTTCAGCTAATTCCTTCAGTGCCCTCAGGTGAATAGCATCAGGCCTTATTGATCTGTATTCATTCAAATTGGTCAGAAGATCTCTGACATGTTCTTTACTTATCCCGATCTGCATCCTTTCCCCTTTATTGTCTATGGTAACTTCGCTAGTCATCCGATCACATTATTTTTTGTGAGAAGACTGAAACAAAGTAGGCATTGAGCAGCTCCACCTTCCTATAATCTTCTGTTACCAGCTCATCTTCTCGGTTAACCAGCGGACCCACACGGTCTTTGATCTTTCTTTTGTCTGAACATATTTGAAGAATCCCCTCCTGTTGTCTCTAGCATTCCTTGCCAGCTGTAACTCATTCTTTGCCATGGCTTTCCTGATTTTGGCCCTACACGCTTGCACTATTCCCATATATACTTCCTTGGTGACATGCCCCTCCTTCCATTTCCCGTAAGTATCCCTTTTGGGTTTTAGATAGCTAAAAAGCTACTTGTGCAGCCATACTGGCTCTTATCTTTCCTCTGTATCGGAATAGCTTGATGTTCAGTCTCTAATATTACATCTTTTAAGAACTGCCAGCCCCCTTCGACTCCTTTTCTTCTTAATTGGTCTTTCCATGGGACCTTGCCTACTATTTCTCGGAGTCAGTTGAAATCCACCTTTCTGAAGTCCAATGTCCTTGTTTTGCTGTTCTCATGCCCTCCTTTCCATAGGATCTTGAATTCTATCAGATCATGATCACTTCCTCCCAAGTTCCCGAGCACCTTACATTCACAACTAGTTCATCCCTGTTGGTCAAAAGCAGATCCAAAATGGACGACCCCCTAGTTGAGGGAAACTAGAAGAGCCCTA